GTTTTTGTCATTTGTCATATGTATACATATATACATTTCCATGTATATATGTATTATGACCCGAATTCTTATTGCTGAATTATAAGATGTGTTGTCTTGTGTTTTAGATAATAGTCATTATCAGATCATGTCTTTTGCAAACATTTTATCCTGGTCTTTGTCTTATCTTCTCTTATCAGTGCATTTTACAGAGCAGACACTATTTTAATAAAATCCAGCTCATCAATTATTACTTTCATGAATCATGTTTTGGTATTGTATCTAAAAAATCATTGCCATACCCACAATCACATACAGTTTTTTCAGTTATCTCCTAGAAGTTTTAGTTAATTTTTGTGTAGGTTGTAAAGGCTGTCTAGATACATATCTTTGCATTTGGATGTGTAGCTATTCCAGCACTATATATTGAAAAGAACATTGTTTCTAATGCTGCATTTATTATCTTTGTTTCTTTGTCAAAGACCAGTTGACTGTATTTGTATGGCTCTGTTGCTGGCTCTATTGTCTTTTACTAATCTGTCTATTCTTATGCCAGTACCACACATGTCTTAATTAATATAGCTTCATAGTACATCTTAAGGTAGTGCCAGTCCTCTGTTCCTATGGCTCTGCTTCAGTATTGTTCTGATTGTTCTGGGTCTTTTGCCTCTACATATAAACTTTAGAATCAACTTGTTGTTACTCATAATTTACTGAGGTTTTGATTGGGATTGTATTGTATCAGTTTAAGAAGGACCGAGATCTTGACAATGTCTTGTTTGGTTCCATCAGTTTTACAGTTTGTTTATATAGACAACTTGTACATACATATCTTATTAAATTTATACCTGAGTATTTCATTTTTAGGTATATTAATGTATTTAACTGGTACTGTGTTTTCAATTTCAAATTCCATATATTCATTGCTACCATATAGGAATGTGATTGGTTTTTGCTTTTGTTCATTAATCTTGTATTCTATAACCTTGCTATGATTGCATATTAGTTCTAGAAGTTTTTGCCTTCTGTGAGCAAAGACAATTTTATTTGTTCCTTCCTAATCAATGTATACCATTTATTGCTTTTCATATTATATTATCTAGGACATTCAGTATGATGTTGAAAAGGAGGGGTGAGAGTGGACACCCTTGCCTTGTTTTTGACCTTAGGGAAAAAACTATTTTCTTATCATTGAAAATGATATTAGCTGTGGGTGTTTTGTAGATGTTGCTTGTCAAGTTGAGGAAGTTCCTCTATAATACTATTTGGGTGTGTTTCTTTCTATTGCTGAGTGATAATTCATTATATAAATATGTCACAATTTAATTATTTGTTGATGGGTTGTTTCCTGTTTTAGGCTGTTCGGGATAAAGCTGTTGTGAACATTTGTATTCAAGTTTTGGTATGTGCACACATGTTTTCCTCTCTAGTAAGTTAAAGACATAGGAATAATCTTCACAACAATGTTTGTTTACTTAAGAAACTGCCTTGTGTCTTAATGTGGTTATACCACTTTACTGTCCAGCTAGCATTGCAGGAGAGATTCAATTCATCCACATTTTTTTAATACTTGTAAGTCTTCTTAATTTTAACTACTGTATTGAGTATGTAGTGGTGTCTTAATGTTTTAATTTGCATCTCCTTAATGACGTTGAGTATCTTTTCATGTACTTATTCATATATATTCTTTGCTGCTGCTTTTCAACTCTTTAAAAAATTATTTATTTTCTTATTATGGAGTTTTTGTGAATTCTTTCTGCATTTTGGTCCTCATCAGAAATTCTTTTAGAAACATGTTTTGCAAAAATCTGTTAGTAAATGGCTTATCCTAAGAGTGTCTTTTTAATAGCAGATTAAAAAAAATTTTTTGACTAAGTCCACTGATTATGCTTTACGTATATAAGAAGTAATTGCATAATCAAGATCACAGAGATGGGCATTTCCATATGAATTTTAGAAACATCTTGTCATTTCCTATTAAAAGCCTGATTTTGATTGCATTGTACTTATGTACATAGTGTAGAATGAGGAGCAAAGGGAACGTGGCCAGACAATGAATGCTAGAGAGAGAGAGAGACTAAGAATCTCTGAGGTGATGGTATTCCTTGCACATCATTCATTAGCATGGATTATTTAGTGTAGTGCTCAGTACATGGCAAAGTCACATTTTGCTTTTTTTGGAACTTTCAGGATTCCCCCCCCACACCCTGCCTGAATATTTTCTCTCTGTGGATGCAGAACCCATAAATATAGAGGGCACTTTGTTGCCTGTTGATCATTGTCTTACATGGTTCTTTCAGACCAGAGGGTGAATCCTGTTACTTCTTTTTGTCTGAAAGCAGAAGTCTCTATTCTAGTCACATTTTTATCTTCACTCCACCAAAACATTTGCTAAAATCAGTAGTTACTTATTGGTTCTCTTCTGAACTGTAGCAGCATTTAGAATAATGTATCACTCCTCCTTTCTAGGTTGTTTCTTCAATTAGTGTATAGGATGTCTTCTTGGTTCTCTTCTATCCTGACCCCTTTTGTTGAATTTTATTCTATTTCCAAACCCTTAAAAGTTTTAATGCACCAGAGATGCTTGGTCTTCATACTTCTCTCTTTGCTATTAATACTCTATTGGTGATTTCATCTATCTCATGACTTTGTACGTTGATTGCTCTCAACTTTGTATCTCAGTCCATCACTTTATCCATAACAGCATGCTTTTATACATCTAGCTTTGTGTTCACCATATCCATTTGATTGTAAATTAGAAATCTCAGTTATAAGAAGTACAAAACTGAACGTTCGAGCTCCTTTCTACCATCTTTCTTTTTGTGCAATACTGGGGTTTGAACTAGGGCTTTGTACTTGGAACGTGAGTGCTTTACCACATGAGGCATGCCTCCAGCCCTTTTTGCTGTGATTATTTTGGAGACAGGTTATCACTTTTAAAGTTTCCTTGTCGCTGGGCTGACAAGCTTGTGCCACTCCATGCATCTTTTTTTCCATTCAGATGGAACATTACAAACTTATTTTGCCTGAGGTGGCTTGGAACCAGAGTCCTCCCAATCTTAGCCTTTTTAGCCTTCTATGTAGCTTGGGATGACACATGCCACCACATCCAGCTGTTGGTTGAAATGGGGGTCTCATGAACTTTTTTGTGAGTCATTCTGTCTCAATCTTTAATGGCCATGCTCCTTTTAAAAATTTCAGTGTGATGAATTCCATGGATTTGAGAAGTCTGTTTTATTAGTAGTCCTTCTTTTCTCAGATGTTAGATTTAAAAAGAAAATCAGATAGTGAATGTTCAGTTTTATTAAATACATTTTCAGCATCAAATGAGAGTTAAGTGAGCTTTAAATGTTATGAATAGTCTAAAAATATCCTCACATTTTTGGAATAATTTGATTCAGTGCTACACATTTTTCTTGAATGTATAGTGGGCCCTATTTCAAAATAATATATGAATTTTATATTCATGAGACTAGGCTTTCATGAGCTTGCATATTTTCTGATGGGTTATCAGGCTTCTGATAACTTACTAAATACTTTAGAATACTAAAGTATTGAATTAATTACATCTTGAATTAATTAGTAATTATCTGTACTTGAAAGTATGATAGAGCATATTGGTAAATTTTGGGGGCCTGACAATATTTTGGAGCAATGGTTAAAAAAACCCAAATCATCTTCTTCCATAGCTGTTAAATATAGTCAGTGTAAATTATCAGTTCTTTTCTTTAATATCCTCAGTCATCTCTTAGATTTTACCCTCTAATTTATTTTCCTATGTTTTCTCAAAAAAAAAAAGATTCATGGAAATAATACTGTGTAAAGTTATGTTATTTAAAGCAGTTTGAATATATTTGAACAATTATCTTGTGATAACTTCTTGCATTTTTGTGTGTGTTTAAAGATGTTTATGCAATTTCTATTTTTTTTAACTTAGTTTGTGTATTCCTTTCTTTCTTTCTTTCTTTTTTTTCTCCTTTGTATGAGATTGGTGCTTTCCACTTGATAGGCAAGTGCTCACCATTTGAGCCATGCCTCTTGTCTTGCTGATTTTGTCTGACCTGGCCTGATACTTTCTTGCTGACCGCCTGTCTTCCACCTTCCTGGGATTACTGGGGTGCACCACCATGCCCAACTAATTAGTATATTTATTTATTTCTTTTGTCAGGTCACATATGTGATTGGTAAACTTTCTAAGGACGTAATTATTTATGTTCTGATATATAATATGTCAGTGAACAGCATCTTCATTGATTATAACATTCATCAATACTAGTTTTACTTTGCCAAAATGACAGTTTTGCTCTATTGTTTTTTAGGAAAGAAATAAATTATATTATTATACTGAAAAAGTTTGATGAAATTTCATTTTAACTTTTGGTTATGGAATTTTTTTCTTCACCCTGAAATACGAAAAAGTGATTTCACATTTACATAAGCATTTCTACATCAGTGTTTTCTAGAAAGTGATCTTTCTTATAGATTCTCTTGAAAGGTCTTGCTTACAGAGATTTTTAATATAGTGACACTCCAAAAGAAGATCCATTGGTATTATATTTGATTTGAAAGATCTTACGTGAATAAGTTATTTATGGCTACATAAAACTATTGTCCTAAAACCTGGGAACTTTAAGCAACATCCATTGATTATCTCTCAGATTCTGTACATTAGGAATCTCAACACGGTTCAGCTAGATCTTCTGCTCTAGAGTCTCAAAAGTCTGTGGTCAAGGTGTCAGTTAGGTCTGGAGCTCATGCGAAGGCTTGATGGGGAAAAGACTTGTCCCCCATCTACTACTTTTACCATTGCAGCACATTTTGGGAAATATTTGATTTGATAGTTGGTCTTAGTATCTTATATCCAATCCAGAGAACATCTACCTTTTTTCAACCCTTTTTTGTTGTATGGGGTGTGTGTGTGTGTGTGTGTACTTTTAGAGAGGGTATAAAAAGGGAGAGAGACCATGTGTTAATATAACTTTTCCATTTTAACAACCATACTATGTGTGTTTCCCCCATAGGTGCCTTAGCTGGACCAATTATTGTGGAGCCGCATGTCACAGCAGTATGGGGGAAGAATGTTTCATTGAAGTGTTTAATTGAAGTAAATGAAACGATAACACAAATTTCATGGGAGAAGATACATGGCAAAAGTACACAGACTGTTGCAGTTCATCATCCTCAATATGGATTCTCTGTTCAAGGAGAATATCAGGGAAGAGTCTTGTTTAAAAACTATTCACTTAATGATGCAACAATTACTCTGCATAACATAGGATTCTCTGATTCTGGGAAATACATATGCAAAGCTGTCACATTCCCACTTGGAAATGCCCAGTCCTCTACAACTGTGACTGTGTTAGGTAGGTACACTTGAATTGTATGTTTTGATGATAGTGGTGAGGATTATAATAAAAATATTTTCAAGAATTTAAGATGTTTGAAGTTTTCTTTAAATTTAAGCTTAAAGTAAGATAATTAAGATATGATTTCTCAAATTCTTTCATAAAGTTCTATGATTCTTGGCTTTCTTAATTTACACAATCTTATCTGTGTCTACTGTCTATATAATGCTACATACTTTTGAGCTTTGCTACTTTTTGCAAAAAAAGATAATGTTTTCATTATAATATTAAAAAATACTGAGTTCTGTGTCATATTTTCATTACTTCCCCTTAAATTTTTAACCTTTCATTAATTTTTAGTTAAGTTTTTCCTTTTTTTTTTTTTAAAGTGACTTGAGTTTTACTTCTTGGAGTCTTTTGGTAACTCACATTTCAGTTTTTCACATCAAATTTTATTTCTGTTGCTATGGATTTATGTAGCTATTCTAATCTTACACTATTGCTCATAATAAATGATATCCCAATATTTCCTCTTTGAACTGTCAAAGTTTATGATAAAATAACTTAATATGCTTATCAGTATTAAGATAACTGCCAGCAGTGGAAGGTAAACCAATTTGGAAATGCTAATTAATGAGTACTTTTGGAGTATAGAACATGGATCAAGAAGTAGCAGTAAGGTGTGGCTATGGACATGCTCTGCTCATACCCTCCTCCAAAAAGACTCACTGTTCACCTGCTGGTAGTACAGTTAGCTGACAGCTTCCCTTAAAGCCCATAGGAATTCCTTGGTAGGATTTAGGAATGAATTGGTAAACATGTAGCCAAGAAATGTTTTGTGAAATAGTTAAGGTAGTCCTTGAATGATGAGTAAAGAAAACTTGGGAAGATGTTAATCTGGAACTGATAGTCAGTGAACCAAGTTAGATAGGCAGAAGTCAATGTACACTAAGGTAACATCTCCTTAACCCTCAATTTGGGGCAAGAGTTATTTGTTGTGGCAAGCTATCCTGTCCGTTGTAGATTGTTTAGCAGCATCTAGGACCTCTAACACATTAAATGCCAGTAACATTTCCTCAATTGTGACAATTCACAGGGTCATTAGATATTGTCAGGTGTCCTCTTGAAAGAATAGTAGGGTGGTGGGAATCATCTGTTCATAATTCTGCATTAGTGGAACACGGAATTATTGTATTGTCTGCATTGTAGTGGAACACTGAATTGTTGATTGTTCAAAGATTTATGTAAAGTAAAAGATTTTTCAAGCCTAGAAACAGTAGGAATACATGAAAGTAACTTGAGTGTTAGAGTATGTGAGCTTCGTGTTACTGGAAATGGGAACTTAGTGTGTAGTAATTGTGCTTTTTCTCCCTGCTCTTTTCTGTTCTCAGACTCTTGCTGTTTAAAATTTAGTTCATGGACCAGCAGCATTGGAATCACTTGGGAACTTGTTAGAAATACAGAATTTGTTTTCTTCTAGATTTATTGAATAATAATCTGAATTTAGGCAAGATTCTCCAGCGAGTTGTATCCACAGTAAAGTTTCTGTGGTGACCACCTTCTGAATAACTTAGAGGGAGCTTAGTCTACTGATAGTAGATGTGACTTAGAAAGTAATGTAGTGAGTATGACAGTAAGATTGGCTTAGTGTTTTTGACTGCTTGAAATGAAGTGATCCTTTTATCATAATGCCTCAGCCATGGGGCCAAAAGACTTGAAATTAATTAACTTCTGCCACTTGAATGAAGAAGGGTATTATACTTCTTAAAATTATGGTTAAGAAAAGTATTACTACTTAAAAAAATAAGCCACAAAATTAGGCATACTATGATTGCATCTATATAAAAATTAGAAACAAAAATAAAGGGAAGGGAATGGAGAAAAATGATAATGACTGTTTTAGGATATTATAATTGTGAACTATTCTCCGCTGTTTTCCAGTTTTCAGTAATACTACTTTTGCAATTAAAAAAATAGACTTCCATTACCAAGCATGATGGCATAACAGCTGAATTTAACCCCTTTGCTCAGGAACAAGAAATTCAGGCAAATTATAAACAGCTTTTAATAATTGGACCATAGTCAGTGTAGGACTGTGAACTCTGAAAGATGGAAGACAAACAAGGTGAGCCCCTAAAATGCTTCCAGCTTCCTCCTTAGGCAGTTTTCAGGCCACATCAGTGATAGAGAGGGAAGAAAGAGAACTCTAATACTTCATCTGGATAGCTTCTTAAGGGTCAGAGGAAGCAACAGCAAAACTGCTAAAACGGGAAAGGATCCCTATACAGAGGAGCGAACTAAAATGTTGATGTACATGATAAAGTTAACTTTAGAAGATCAATGAAATCAGCAACTAGGAGATGGATTCCTTTCAAAACAAATATAAATAATATAATTTAAAATGGACTGTAAAGTAAGTTCCTGAAAGACAAAAGAAAGCGTTTGTCATTATGATGGCATAAGTTATTAAACTTAGTAACTTCAGTCTACTCTTCCTCTGAGAATGAAATATAAACGACACCTTTGAAAACATCAAAGAAATATCAACATAGGAAAATAACTAAATGAAAATCTAGTAGAATCTGAAAATGTACAAATTAACCTAGCACTGAAAGCTACATTCAACCTTAGGATATTTGACAATTCAGAAGAAACATTTGAAATGCTTAGCTAAGATTTTGGGAGCCTTGAGAAGTGAAAGGCACACATGTCTGAGTAAAATTCTCATATGTCTAGTTATCCTCATATTCACTTTGTACTCCCAAAGACTTGCATTCTCAGAATAGTAGTAAAACAGAAGTAAACCAACCTTGTTACAGACTTTCTAGACCTAGTTTATAATACTCAAGTAAACTGAACTTAAGAAAATCTTGGCCTGGTTATTGTTTCAGGAGCTTGTCATAAGAAAACACAGATTTAAATATAGATACATAGTCTGCTTGAATAATTAGGTGTTTAAACAAGGAAGGCCTACAAACAGTGTCTTGCACAAATAAAAACAGAAATTGACTTGCAAAGATGTAAGATGTTGGAATTACCAGGCATAGACTTAAACAATAATGTTGTACCATTAGAAGAAATATGTCAGTCTATAAATCTCTATAGATTCTTTATAGAGAATGAGAAATAAAAATTCATATAGTAGTTGGCCTCAAGATAGAGAAATACAGAATTTCTTAGAGCATAAAGTGGTTATCCATGAAAAGTAAGTAAACACGGACAAATTTTAGTACTTCTGAATTAACTTGCTTATCAAAACATACCAGAGGCTGGGTATGTAGCTCAGTGGCAGAATACTTGCACCCTCCCCACCACACACAAATCAAGTAGCTAAAAAGTATTAGGTAAAGCTCTAAACTGGTAGAAGATCTCTGCACCACATATAATAGAGAACTAATTTCCCAGAGTTAGGTAGAACTACACATTAATATGAAGAGCAGGTACCTCATTGTAATATGCATTTGGCAATAGAAAAAATTCCAAATGGAAAGATCTCCATCCTCATTCATAATATGACAAATTAAAAATCGTAAATTACATTATCTATGAGATCGTCACATACTGAGGCCAATACATTACCAATAATATTGTCAAATACTGAAAAGTCTAACAATAGCAGATATGGAACAAGTGCTCTTAAGATTGTGAGTAAATGGATATTTTAGAAAGATTTTGTCATCTTCTTGTAAAATTAAAATAGATTACATAATATAGCAATTCTAATAATACCTAGAACAAACTGGAGAAGCTTGCACACGAAATACCAAGATAAAATGAATGCGAATGTTTCTTGTAAAGCTCTTTAGACCAAAAAGTAAACACCCTAGTATCCTCCAGTAAATAAACTGTGCAGCAACTGAAACTGATAATATTTACAATTCCATGTGGATCTAAATGATGCAAAAGTAAAGCTTTAAAATGAGTTCCAAAAATTATAAACTAAAGCTAAATGCTCCAAATATGCATGAATCTCCAGAACACAAAGTTGAGTCAAAGAAAAGTAATAGAAAAACACACGTGATCCAATTCTAGTAAAGTTCAAGAGCAGGGACAATAAGACTGTCGGGTTTGGGTCTGCACTTAATTGATTGTAGAACTGTAATACATAGAAATCTGTCTCCTAAGTTTGTATAATGGTTTCACATTGAGGCAGACAGGGTAAGATCAAGGAGTAGCTTGACGGACTTTTCAGATATTAATGTTCTTTTTTACGATGTGTGGCAGTTACTAGATACTTGTTATCAAGTTGTTACATGTGTTTTCACATACTTTCCCCATGTTATTTTATAATAATACAGCTTATAAAAGAGGAAGCATGTAAGGAAAATATTAGTGTGAAAAATATGAAACAAAAATAGTAATCACAAATCAAGAACAGATGATACTACTAGTGATTTATTCCTAGAAGCACTTAAATATTAGTTATTTTTGCTGCAGAATAAATATGGTTTTTCTTTCAAGAGTAACATCTTTAATCTAATGAAGGAAATTATGGCCAAGGTTGCCAATATTTTTTACACACACCATTTTGGAGACAGCTCATCTGTCCCCATGAAGTAATACATACCTTTATCTTTCAGGGAGCACCATCTTTGTAGTGGTAATATAAAATCTTGGCCTCTTGTTTGTCCTAGCTTATGATCTTCTGTTGTTGTTCCAAGAATGCAGTTGATGTTGGCATCAGGTAAAATGAGTGAATAGATTCTATAAGCAGTTGTCCCTAAGCCTATGAAATATCGTCTATATGTGGTTTGGATGAATATAAATATTACTTGAAATGTAAATGTAATTTTTTTTTATTTAAACAGTTGAACCCACTGTGAGCCTGATAAAAGGGCCAGATTCTTTAATTGATGGAGGCAATGAAACAGTAGCAGCCATTTGTATCGCAGCCACTGGAAAACCAGTTGCACATATTGACTGGGAAGGTGACCTTGGGGAAATGGAATCCACTACAACTTCTTTCCCAAATGAAACATCCACAATCGTCAGCCAGTACAAGCTGTTTCCAACCAGGTTTGCTAGAGGACGGCGAATTACTTGTGTTGTAAAACATCCAGCCTTGGAAAAGGACATCCGATACTCTTTCGTATTAGATATACAGTGTAAGTAAATGCTAGCGTTTGCTTCTCAGCTTAAGTTGTCCGTTTTGCTTCAGTTTTTTTCTTCCTATATATTTCTGTATCAAACCATTTTTAGTTTTGACATTGAATACTCAGATAATCTACAACTTTTTTTGTAGACGGTTTTTCTTTGCTTGTATTTCCATGGCAATTTTATCTAACCAGAACATTTTTGTCAATAAAAATCTACAGGTGACTTTAAAGTAGCTCTTGAACTTAAAAAATGTTTAATATTGTCTGTTTAAGACATTAAGCAACTGGACTTGAGGGAGTTGTGGAAGTTTGTGTTTCAAAATGTATAATACGTAGAGCCAGGCTTGGTGGCTCATGCCTGTAATCCCAGCTACTTGGTAGGGGAAGAGCAAGAAGGTTGTGGTACAAGGTCAGCCTGCCCAAAAAGTTATTGGGACCCCATCTCAAAAGCCAGGTGTAATAAGCCAGCCTCATAGCTGTAATCCCAGCTATGCAAGAGGCATAGGTAGAAGGATTGTGGTCTGAGGTTGGCCAGGACAAATAAGACCTTAGCTGAAAAATCACTTAAAACAAAGCAGGAGGTGTGGCTCAAGTGGTAGAGCACTTAACTTGCCTAGCAAGTGCAAGGCCCTGGGTTCAAAACGTAGTATCACAAAAATGTGTACTTCTTTAACAATACAACTTACAATACTTATCTCCATTGTATTTAATTGCTCTGTTAATTCATTTTTCATGAATCTTTCTCATGATGTTTTCTTTTACTTCCCTAGTTATATTTTAACTAATTTGGAAATATTTTTCCAATACCATTTTTAATCTGATCTTATTTGTAGTGTTGTAAGATTCTTATATAGGTAAAAATTTTAAATAAAATTGGGGTAAAGATAATTATAGAAAAGGTTAAAAGCTGGCCTACTTTGAACTTAAATGTTTTTGTTGAGATGTGTGCTTGTATTTTCATGTGTATCTGTGTTTTTCTGTTCAGTAAAGTTTCTCAGTTTTTGATACATTGCAATTTCTGCAGCATTTTAACTTTTGAGTAAGAAGTAGGGTGATGATTGCTTATACTTTATAGCAGGGGTAATTAAGATTGGGCAGATTAGACTGAACATGGTGAGACACACCTATAATCCCAACTACTTGGGAATTGGAGATTGGGAGGATCACAGTTTGAGGCCAGCCCAGTCAAAAAGTTAGTGAGATTCCATCTCAAACATAAAAGTTGGGCACGATGGCACACTTGTCATCCCAGGTAGGCAGGAGGCATAAGTAGGAGGCTCAAGGTCTAGGCTGGCCAAGACAAAAAATGCAGGACCTACCTGAAGAGTAGCTTTATGGACTGGGGGCATGCCTCAAATTCAAACCCCAGTACCACCATCCAAAAAAAAAAACACAATTAGCCAGATTTGGATACAAGTAGTGAAAGTATTTAGTTTCTGCTGTCATTTCCATCCATGCACAGATTATAATTCTATGAAGTATTTGAAGGAGTTGTTTTATTTTCGTTGTTAGTTTTTTTTATATCTGTGCATGAAATTTCAAGTTATACGTGCTCATTAACTTGTAATGGTTTCTAAAACTAATCTCAAGGGTCTTTTTCAATACTTTGAGGATTAAACTTAAAAAGCATGGTTACATTTTTTTTCTTTTTGGCAGTACTGGCATTTGAACTCAAGACCTCATGCTTGTTAGTCACATGCTCTACCACTTGATTCATGCCTCTAGCCCTGTTTTGCTTTTTTATTTTTCAGATTGTGTCTTACATTTTTGTCTGGAACTGGCCTTGGACCACAATCCTCATACCTATACCTCCCTCATGGATGGAGTACAGGTGTACACCACTACACTTAGCTTATTTCTTGAGTTGTAGTCTATTTTTCTTTCCTCGGGCCAGTCTCAAGCCACACCACCCCTGATCTCTTCCTCCTGAGTAGTTGGGATTACAGGTGTGAGCCACCATGTGCAGCTACGTAAATGTTAACTGCCATGATGTTCTTGAGTGCTGATGCCCATTCTTGTTTGGAGAACCCAGTTTTTTCCTTTTCCTATCTTGCTTTCACAGACTTAATTTTTTGCTTTTACTTATAAAATTCAGATACCAATTTAAAGTACTATTAATATCTTCCTTATATATGTATATTTCCTTCCCTGTGTGTAATTATGTTTTTTTCTTATTAACTTGATCCCAAAATGTTCTTAGGGTATTCATGACTTTTTCCCTTGTTAAATTGGAGAGCTATAAAACATGAACAAAGTTCAGAAAGTTAAAATTTTATATCCCAAATTCATACCACAAAATTTGGGCACACTCTTTGGAAATACTTAATCCCTTTAAAAAAGAGATTAATTGTTTCCAGTGGAGAGGGGAAAAAAGATGGAACTCACAGATACTGGACTGTTTTTTCAACAAAAGAATTTAGTACTCATTTTAAGTTACAAAAGCATTTTGTTAATTCTTCATACTTAAAAAAAAGTAGGCATTTTTAAACAAAAATTACTTAGGCAATTGTACCTTAGTCAAAGTTTAATTTTTTTCTAACTCTTTAGTAAAATGCTTTTCAGTAGTTCATTGATAGACTTAAAAGTGTAACCTAATCTCTTCTAGCCCCTGGTCTTACACTGTGCTGTTGATCTAGTTTCCTATGTACCTCACAGAAAGATGATGATCTTTGCACCAGCATGAGGAAAGCTTCCTTGAGGATATGCTCAGGCCTCTCATCCCCCTTATCCCCAGCCTCAACCTGAATTAGGTGTTTCTTCTAATCTCCTCTCAGCATTGTGTTCTTTTCCTCCTTGACCCTCATAGTAGGTTTTAGTTTTTACGTGTCATTCTCCCCGTTACTATTACGATGTAAATTTTATGGCTACAATGTCTATATGTATACTAAACACCTAAAAGAGTGCCCCACACTTACTGGGAGATAAAATGATATCATTTTAACTAGTGATGCTGCACATATGTTAAGAAGACTTGGTTGCATTAAGTAGATGTGTTAGTACTGTAAAGTCCTAGATAATTTACTACACTTGATGTCTCAGAAAGTCGGTGTCACATCTCTGCATGCCCCATAGAGTATTAGCTAATTGTTATTGATATCTCTTGTAGGATATTTCCTTTTAAATATCTTTTTAAATTAAAAAATTTTTTTTAAAGAGTCCAGCCCAGCCGGGCTCATGCCTGTAATCCTTGCTACTGAGGAGGATTGTGGTTCAAAGCCAGCCCAGGCAGATATTTGAGAGACCCTATCTCAAAAAAAATCCTTCACAAAAAAGGGCTGGTGGAGTGGTTCAAGGTATAGACCCTGAGTTCAAACCCAGTAACTGCAAAAGTAAATAAATAAAGGATGTCCATGTGTAGCCCAGGCTATCCCTGAATTCTTAACCTTCCTGCCTCAGCCTCCCAAATGTTGAGATTATGGGCATGTACCATCATGCCTGGCTAGATTAAGCATGTTTAAAGACAGTTTTATGTGGCTACTTGATACAATATGGTACTTCAATGTTATGTCTCATTTAATTAAGGACTATAATATATTCACTTTGTCTGTTTCTACATCTTTCATAAGAGCATTTACATTTTGCTTTTGGTGATTATAGGCTTTGAATATTGTTATGTCTGGCATTCTTAATAGCTAGAACTATTAGTGCTTACAAGTGTTTGGGACTCATGGTCCATCCATTCATCCATTGCTTTAGTCAACTAATACTTATTGAATACTGTCTTCCACATTGATTATATATGTTTAGAGTAAAGAAAAATTATGTATGTTCTTCTAAAGTCTCTTGTGTTCATGTTTTATCATTTTATATTGTATTTACCATTAACAAGAGATGATTTATCCTGTCATATATTTATTTTGTAGATGCCCCTGAAGTTTCAGTAACAGGATATGATGGAAATTGGTTTGTTGGGAGAAAAGGTGTTAATCTCAAGTGTAATGCTGATGCAAATCCACCACCCTTCAAATCTGTGTGGAGCAGGTAATATAATCTTAGAGAAATTATTTAAAAGTAGAGTATTCTTAAATGCATATGTAAGATTGTTTTTATTGGTATAATACATGATTAGAGTATTAGCTGAAAATTTAACTAAATGAAAAGTTTCAATGTATTCTTTTGCCCCACCCCTCCTCACCTTCCTGTCCCCTCAGTTCTGTTTTTTTAAAGGTGGCTATGTCAGTGATTTTGGCAGTTTTTTTCTTGTAGTGAACATCATAGGTCTTATACTGCTACTTCTTGGTTCACCAGTTTTTAACACTGCTCATTTTTTTAAAAAGGGTTAATTTTATGTCCACACCTTCACCCACCAATACACTAATATACATTTTCACTCTTTATTGTCTGACTGAAATTTACTTTTAGTTAAACTTTGTAATTAGTGTGTGTTTCCCTGTGATACGTCCAAGAGCTAGGCAGTACACCAGAATGCTGTTTTCTTTTGTGTGAAGCTATTTGTTTTCCTTGTGCTTAATAATTGCTTTCTTTTACTTGTGTAATTTCCCATCCACATCTCCTTAATTCTCTTTTCCCCCCTTTTATTCTCTTTACTGCTAACCTTCAAACTGTTACACTAAGGTTTTCATTAATATTCTCAGTGTTCGGGGCTTGTTTCAATTTTGAGACTTGTGTCTGTCAGTGCTGGATAATTTTCTTTTTTTTTTCTTTTTTTGACAGTTCTCTTCCTTTTTTCTGTTTATTTTAAATGGACCTCATTTACTGTATAATATGTACCTTTTCATAGTTTTCAAACAGGTTTACTGTTTCCTAGAATATTTGCTTCACTAAGCCAATTTCCATTTGACTTCATTTTTTTTGCATATTTACAGTTTTTAAGAGTACTTTCTCATTCCCTGTTCATTTTCATAGCCTCCTTTTTATATTTTATAGATGTAGTACCTTGTTTCTTCCCAGATATACTAGTTATTTCCACCTGTGATGGTTAATCTTGATCATCACCTTGAATTGAGATATACCCAGTAGATTAGTAAAGCACACCTTCGAGTATGTCTGTGGGCATTTTCAGAGAGGATCATCTTAAGAGGGGAGGACCAGCCTTGAATGAAGGAAGCACCATCCAATAGGCCTGGGGGCTAACATGGACTAAAAGGGTGATAAAAGGAGAAAGCCAGCTAGTGAAGGCATTCTTTCTCTCTTCTTTCTGGCTGCCTTATTATGAGCTGCTGTGATCTTAAGCTCTGCAATGATGGATTGAAAGTTCTGTCACTCTGAGCCCAAATAAATCCTTCCTCCAATAAAATTGATTCTCTCAGGTATTTGGTCATAGTGACAAACAAATTAACTACCACAATACCCCAGAGATTTTTTTTTTTTTTTTTTGCTGCTTCCAACATATTATTTCTTTTTCTTCCAAGTTCTTTTGATTCTTTTGGTTTGGTCTTTCATTTTGTAGATATTTCTTATTCTTGACTTTCCAGACATTTCACAGTGAGGTATTAACATAAAATGCTTAGTGGAAAATGTCTCTAAAGTGAGAATTACTCAATAGTATGTTCCACATGGAATGATCACATAGAGAAGTAGTTGTTTTCTTAGAGAAACTACAGATTTCACCAAGGGAAGAGTGGAAGTCTTTTTCTTTATAGCTAATTCAGTTGTTTGTTGAATTTAGCTTCTTCTTTTGCCTGAGAAATAAATGCCTGGTATCTGTAGAGTTGGAAGGAATATATTGATTTGTAACTTTCAATTAATATCCTTATTTCCAGCCCTCTGCCTCTTATCAGACTCCAAGCTTTCCTATGTTCGGCTGCTTTCTCAACCATGTATCTCTTCCAAACAACTTTTTCTCCCAAAGTAGAACTTTTCAACCTAGACAATACTGACATTTTGGACTGGATTTTGTTTTGTTTTGTTTGTAGGTAATCCTGTGAATTGTGGAATGTTTAGCAGCATTCCAGTTCTGTATCCTCAATTGAGCCCGTAGTATCAACCACTTCTCCAGCCGTGACAACTCAGAATGTCCCTAAGGGCAAAACACTTAGCCAAGAAACACTTACCTAAGACATAATTGTTTTCTCCATCTCTTTAAGGTCTTCTAAAAGTCTAGTGAAACATCTGTTTGTTGAATTGTCTACTGTTCTACTCATGGGTTTTATATAACTTTAAGTTTTCTTTTTTTAAATTCATTTAATCATATGTGCATACATTGTTTGGGCCTTTTTTCCCTCTGCCCCCCTCACTTTTAGACAGAACCTGTTCTGCCCTTTTCTCCAATTTTGTTGAAGAATAGATATGAGCAATAATAAGAAAGACAAAGCATTTTTGCTAGTTGAGATAAGAATAGCTATACAGAGAGATTCCTAGCATTGCTTCCATGCACAAGTGTGTTGCAACTCGAATTGATGCATCTGTACCTGACCTCTTCACTACTTACTGGTCACTTCCCATATGACCTCTGTTGTTTTAAGGTTACTGTATTAGCTCCTCTGCAGTGGGTAACTTTTATTTTTGGTGTGATTGTTTTTGTGGAATTAAGGAAACAGTATATTTAGTCAATCTAGTCTTAACGATAACTTTAAAAGTAGAGAAGACCCTTTTTCCATTTATATTTTCTTAAAAGTAGGAAGTATGAACAGTGACTAATTAAGACGTCCATTTCGTAGACTGTTTCTAATAATCTATGTAATTCTCAGTCCTCACCCTAGTGTCTGTTCTTCTAGATAGTTTTTTGAGTCATTTAATGCCTCTAATAATTAGTTTTCTTTTTGTTTTTTGTTGTTGTTGTTTTTGGCAGCACTGGGGTTTGAACTCAGGGCCTCACACTTTATAGGCAGTCAGTGTTACCATTTGAGCCACACCATTAGCCTCAAGTTTCCTTATTAGTCGTGTATAGAGATTTTTCTGAGGGATCAGACAATGAATGTAAGTCATGTAAGTCAGTATAAGAACATAGAAGATGCATAGTATGTGTTCCTTGTTACTTTAAAAGATTATAAATTAGTATTTTTAAGTTTCTCAGAGAATTAAAAGGATTGGAGTTCTGGGTCCAGTGAGCATAGGGAGTTGTTAAGGATATATAGTCATCTCTATTCTTACCTTCCTAGATAGAATTCACCTTCTGAAAGCAGATGATTCCAAAATTTTTTTTGCAAAAGCCTTCTTAAGAAGTTTGGAGTTTCTGTTTTTTTCAGACTATGTAAAAATACTGTCTTTACAACTCAGTGCTAAATTAAAGGCTATGTATCCCTAGCCCAAAAATTCAAAAATTAAAACTGTATTCACAACTCCAAAAGATTTTACTCATTGTTTTTCAGCCCACTGTCAAAACAAATCATTTCATCTGTTCTCAAATGCTGATTTGCTTCCTTCTCCCTTTTTATTATTCTTTTTTCTTGTTCCTTTGCCAATGAATTATGGATCTCCCACTATGACTTTTTTCATCATTGAAAGCAGGGACAAAATCTTACTTCTGCACCTCAGCAAAACCAGCAGAACAGAGTATGGCAAATAGTAAGCTCCTAGAAACTGAATGAATGAATGTATAAGTGAATGGATGTTTTGAAAATTTGCTTAGTCTGAACCATAATAGTTGAACCTCCTTAATTTTCTTTTTATACTTATGTCTTTAAAAAAAAAAACCTATGTAGTTTAAAAAGTTTCAAACTAAACATATTGATTTTTTTGTGTGTTGGATTTTTGTGTGTGTGTGTGTTCTTGCATTTGAAAAGCTATTAACTTAGTTCCATTGTAGTGAATGGCTTTAGAGTTTTTACAGTAGGATTTTTATGATTTATAGCACTAGTTTTAGCCAAATTAGTATTGATACTGTTTAGAAAGTTATTTTTGGGATACCAAATCTTGCCTTGGTTTTTACTGTCACAGACACTATAAGTAGATCCTTTTTGGTTTTTAGAAAACCAAAATAATATATATATAAAATAATATTTTATTTTATATATATATATATTTTTTATATATATTATATATTTTATTTTATATATATATTTTATATATATATTATACAAGGTGTCAAGACATTTTATTATATTTAAATGAGATGACTTTTCATTATAAAATTGTATCATTTGTATATTTATAATGCACTGAAAGTTTGAATGCCTTTGATACTATGGGATGTCATCAAGTGATTTTTTTCAGTTTTCCTAATATAATTTTTTAAAATCATATTTTCTCAACTTTCCTCCCATTTTGTTATGTTGATCTATCCACACTTACATTAATATTTAGAAATAATGCATATATTTAATGGACTTTAGTAGTTCATCTTTATTAAAGTGAAAATTTATTGCTTATATACTTTCATTTCATAGTTAATTGGATCTAAATGAGGTGGTTATTTTAGTAACATCTCAGAAGTGTAATGTCTTGTCTTAATAGTTGTCAATAAATACTATCTGAAAATATTTAAAATAATTTTATGTTTTTTAAAACCTAGGTTGGATGGACAATGGCCTGATGGTTTACTGGCTTCAGATAATACTCTTCATTTTGTCTATCCACTGACTTTCAATTATTCTGGTGTTTATGTCTGTAAAGTGACCAATTCCCTTGGTCAAAGAAGTGATCAAAAGGTCATCTACATTTCAGGTAAGTTGCTGTCTATTTCCAAACTGAGTTACCTAAAATTTTCTTCTAATAATGATCCTAGGCACATTGTAATGATACAGATTATCAGAGTGAAAATTTCTGAATAATTTAAAAGAGATATGCTAAAGTAATCCTATTTGAAATACATATGTAAGGTGCTGATTCTTAAAGCGGTGTCAGAAAGTCTACATATTTTTTATTGATAGTATGCCTGTCTAAATTATTTTTTCTTTAACCAAAGAGCAATCTTTGGTGGTTATACTACATACAATTGTCTGATAAATAAAATGGGATACTAATTTTGATAACCTGGTTTGTTAAATAACACCACTTGCCTTTCAGGATGGAATAGACCAGTTTGAGTTACTGGTAGGTGAAATAAGAATGCTACTGAAAATGTTTTAATTAAGTAAAGTTTATGGATTTCTTACTGTCAGTTCTAAAGCCACTAAGAACATGGTTTTGTTTTGGTTTTTTTCACATAGTATTTCACTGTGACTGTTGTGTTAATTTGTTTCTATAAAGTTGGGCATTCATGAAATGTAAGAGTTAAAAATATATTTGTTCCTGCAAATGGCTATAAATTACCAGTGGAATATTTATTTAGGAAAAAATACAAATACTTTAGTATCTCTTTACTAACTGGCAGAATATAGATATCTTCATGTCTAACAAATAGAAAATTAGATGGAAAAGAAAGAACCTTGAGAAATTCAGGTTCCTATGGTGATTATGGAATGGATAGTTAAGATTTTAATCTCTTTAAGAATAAATTAGAGAGTTTCAAAAAACTTTGTTTCCTTAAGTAGTATATTCTCAGTCCTGTGTAACCATTCAATCTTGGACCCTTTCCCCATATTTTCCCCTTTCCCCATATTTTCTCATAGTATTTACAACAATTTATAGTTCTATGTGCATTTATTATTCATCTTCAAAATTAAGCAGCTTGTGGTTACTTTATTCACTACTGTGTACTCAGCAATTAGCATCTGCCTTGCACTTAATACTTACATTTTTTAATGACTAGCAAGAAGCTTAGAACTGTATGCATCCCTTTTCCTTTGCAATAGTTTGAGGAAGATCAATTATTATTATATAAATCCCTCTTTCTTCTTAGAGGATGTGCCAACAGAAATGCAGATTTAAAATTTAATCACTTTTTCAAGACTTTATTTTGTATTGTTCCTGTTGTACAGTTTGTTGTGGGATATAACTTATAAATCTCAAGCTCAGTATGTTATAATTTTATAATCTTTAGATAACAAGGTTTGATTTGGCATTCATATATACTGATTCCATCGGTATTAGTTTTTAAATTTATATCTATTGGCATTCCAGGTTCACTTTCTAGTACTCCCGACTTGTGTTTTTAACTGCATATTAATGATCATTAACAATATGTAACAATATGTATATGAAGTTGAATAGGCACACAGCATACATGTTTAAAACTGATCTTTCTCCTGCCCTTTGAAACACCAAACCTGTTTCTCTACCGGTCTTTCTCCTCTCTATATAATTCCATCCTTACATTTGTTCCTGTATAGTATTCTTGGTTTCACTTTTTCCTCTCATACCTAGCTCAATCTATCAACAAACCAATATCAGCTTTCTCATTATGGTATATAGTATCTTACTGAGTCACCACTTCTTCTACACTACTGCTCTGGTCTAAACCATCAGCAACTCGAATTTCACCAGCCATTTTAATACCCACTTTAAATCTGTCACTCTTCAGTCTGTTTTCAAACAAGCAGCCAGCATCGTTTTAAAGGGAGTGTCAGATCATATCCCTCTTCTCCTTAAAATGCCCATAGACTTCTATTTACTTGCAGCAAACACAGTGACTTATATATCCCTTATGTCTCTTGCCCAGCTGTTCAGCCACACTGATCTCCTTTTTCTTTGAACATAACAGTCACATTTCTACCTCAAGAGTCTTTGCATTTGCTGTTTTCACTGCCTGGAGTGCTCTTCCACACGTATCATAAGTGGTTTTTTTTTTCCCCCTCATTTTCTGTAGTTTTTTTTTTTTTTTTTTGAAAAATACCACCTTTTCCTGTGAGGCTTTTCTTTCTTTATGACTCCTTAAATAGATAACCTTTTCTTTTCACATTTTCTAACTGCTTTCTGTCCTACTTCTCCCATCTTATTTTTCATGTTAGTCCTTACTGTCATGTGACATAATATTTTATTTATATGCTTGTCTAGTTTGACCCCCACTAGATCTTAATTCCTAAGGGGGCAGGAATTTTGTCTGCTTTAATCACTACTATATTCCTGCCATCTGCAATGATGTAAGACTTACATATAACAGTTGTTCAGTACACTTTTATTGTATGTGAATGAATAAATTGTTTGAGAAAAATCAGGAAAGAATTAACTATTTTCTTTGACTAGGGAACTGACAAATGTGTGTGTGTATATGTATATATATATATACATATATACACATATATATACATATATACACATATATATGTATATATATGTGTATATATATATTTTAAAAAGCAGCTATAAAGTGCTACAAAATGGGAAGTCACATTTTGAATAAATACAAAAAATCACAGTTTAATATCCTCTTTGTATTTCAGAAGAAGATAGCATTATATGAGATGATTTTCTTCAAGTAATCAAGAATTATACTTTACGTTTCTACCCAGAGTCTACAATACAGTATACAATATACTTAGCTAGGTTCAGTTAACCAAAAATTTTACTTAGAATAGATTAGAGTTAGCAATTCAGTTTGAGTGAAATTGCTTTAAATTTTGTTACACATTTTCCACATTGGGAAACATAGTTATGACAAGAGGCTACTGGTTCATGATTATAGTACTCAACTTGTTATTAGATTATACTCTAGAATAGTGTCACTTTTATAGAGTACAGTGGTTCTTCATCCAGTACTGACCAGCTGCTGGACATTATGTTTCTCTGGTTTGTTTTTGGTAGATACGTTTTCTTTGCTGTCTGTCACTTCTTTGGAAATAGAAAAGCAAATTTTTACATATCAGATAAGTACCCTCATGCTCCAAATTCTAATTCTTATGCAAAAGTTATGTATCAAATCATTGATTTAGGATCCAGACATAGCATTAAACTTAGGAATCCACAGTGAGCAATTTTTGACTTTAAAATGTATGATTTTTTTAAATCAAAGTCCAAAAGAAATGTAAGCCAATCCACTTCATTTTTTGACCCAGTAATTATTAGGCTAAAGTATGCCTGACAGGCTGTCTGCAAGTCTATTTCTGGATGAACTATTTGTTTTCTTAGTTAGCAGAAGTAATTAGTGAGAAAAAAAAAACTTAAGGTCTTCATTTGGATGAGATCTCCTAGTCTATTAGAGGTGATTCTCTTATATTCTCATCTGGTATACATTTAGCAAAGAATAAAAATTGTCTGAAAATACAAAAAATGATGTTGGGAAGGATTTTAAATCCCATAAATAAGGTACTATTGATTATAAAATAGTCTTGCTTCCTTACATGAATTGTGACTCCCATTATACATTAAATGTCTTATATACATTGCTGTATGCAAAAAGTGTGCTTAAAATACAAAATAATGAAGTATTAACAGTAATCCCTATGGGATGACATTAATAGGAATGCTGTGCTGTTTTTAACACTGGTTAAGGAGGAGAAGGAGAATGTGTTGAAATTTTTCTAGGATTATTAATAAAACTAAATAACATAAAAATTTTAACTACTTTTGTTAGATTTTCTGAAAGTCATATTTTGTTAAACCTGAATGAAATAAACAGTAGCTATTCATTTGTATTCATATAAATAACTTTGCATATAGAAATTGAAAATGTCCACTTTTTTTGCTACATGGTAAAAATTTCCAGTTATCTCTCTTTTACTTGGTAAGAGCTCAGGTGTACGCATTGTTCCAAGAAAACTAGCATAGCAAGAGCTACTAGAAACCTAAGATATCTTATGTGTATAAAATGTGTAAATTATAGATAAATAATTTATTTAGGTGATTAGTAGTTTTATTTAAATGTGCTGTTGCCAGTTTATTATAATGTATTTTTCTTTGGGAATCATTACAGATATGACATTCAGTACTTAAACTTAATTGTCCTCTTATGCCTTCCCCCTCAAAAACTACAAGAATTTTCTCACAAATGATTGAAATTTTAGTCTGTTTCTTCAATATCTTAATTCTGTGAAGTTGAATATATGAGGCTTTACTAGAAATAATTCTTCAATTTCACAATTGTTTTCATCGCATTGACCTAGCTTTATCACTTTGTTCAGCTAGTGCATATATTCTCATATAATAAAACTTCCTGATTCACAGACATATAGTATAACTAATATAGTTCAAAGTACTTGACCGGATTACCAGTTATATTAAACTCATAGGAAATTAGTCATACTGTATTTGTTACCTTTTATATTGTACTTGCTAAATTTTTACCACATTCTATACATATGGCATTCCGTGATGAAACCTGTTTCAGTAAGTATTTTTCTTTAGCTTGTAATATTAGAATAACTTACCCCATGTAGATTTAGTGTTTTTTTCTAACAATCATTTTTTTAAAGCTCTGTCAGTACCACTCATGTAAAAATTAATTATAGGAGATTACCATTTAGGTCATTTATTTTTATCTCTGAAAAATTCAAGATTTTCAAACTCATCTTTTCTTCAAACTCTAGAATTTTGCATAACAGATCTACAAATACTACTTAATTGATAATTAACCAATCTTTAATTTTTACTATGTATGTTTAGTTGCTTTTTAATATTAATAGCTACTCTGTAATCTAATGTCAATATACAAGTTCATTTGCATCTAATACTTAAGTATTATTAGAATGTTCTCTCTGAAATATTAGCTACTGTTTTTGAGACTCCACTGTAAAGTAATGACATTCAGTTTTGCAGATATAGTTGAAATTCCTTAATTTTCTAAATGTTTCCATATGTTACCCTTGGGGTATTAGATGTGATGATTTTTATGACTGTTTAACATTTATACTTTGACTATTAGTCTTAGTTGATAATAGCCTGTTTGACTAACACAGTTTAAACATATGCTTTTTATTTTTAAAAATCACCAAATAATGGCCTTTTCTATATTTCCTTCATAAAAATTTTTACAATATTTTTAATATGAGGAAAATATTTTTGAGAGAATTAAACCAGCTTATATACTGTGCCCACTTAACAAGACTCTATAGTTTTTCATTCTTTTAAAGATAAGTTAAGATCTTATGTATTAGATAAAGATGCATTTAAGAAAACTTACTTTAATGTTTTCATTCTGTCATTTTATTTCCTTTTGCTACTGGCTAAGAAAATGTACATTGGAATTATTTGATTTAATTTTAATATTTTGTATGATAATTCTTAAGCCGGCGGTGCATAGAATAGTTAAGTTATAATCTACACTAAAAAAATAACCTATTCTCTAGAGTACAATACACTCAAACTTGGAATAAAGTGATTTAGGGTTTGCATTATAGGTTTCATACCTTTCACTTCATTGGTAGCTGACTTAAGTGTCAGTTTTGTTATTTTTAAAAATACATATTTTGTAATCTTAATCAAATTAAGAATGAAAAACTATTGTTACTGTGAATATATACTCATTAACTGTGCTGTCTTTTCAACTTGCTGCTGAATTAGCCTGCATTGACATTCTTTGCCTTTCTGTGTCTTGTCTATCTTTACTGTTTCCATTAGATCCTCCTACTACTACCACCCTTCAGCCTACAATTCAGTGGCATCCTTCAACTGCTGACATCGAGGATCTGGCAACAGAACCTAAAAAATTGCCCTTCCCATTGTCAACTTTGGCAACAATTAAGGATGACACAATTGGCACAGTCATTGCTAGTGTAGTGGGTGGGGCTCTTTTCATAGTACTTGTAAGTGTTTTGGCTGGAATATTCTGCTATAGGCGAAGACGGACGTTTCGCGGAGACTACTTTGCCAAAAACTACATTCCACCATCAGATATGCAGAAAGAATCACAAATAGATGTTCTTCAACAAGATGAGCTTGATTCTTACCCAGACAGTGTAAAAAAAGAAAATAAAAATCCAGTGAACAATCTAATACGTAAAGACTATTTAGAAGAGCCTGAAAAAACTCAGTGGAACAATGTAGAAAATCTCAATAGGTTTGAAAGACCAATGGATTATTACGAAGATCTAAAAATGGGAATGAAGTTCGTCACTGATGAACATTATGACGAAAATGAAGATGACTTAGTTTCACATGTAGATGGTTCAGTAATTTCCAGGAGGGAGTGGTATGTTTAGCATCCACTGAATGTGACTTAACTATGTACAATGTTTCATTCATACTAGTTGATCATTTTCAGATTGTTCATACTTTTTCTTGAGGAAGAATAACCTTTTTCAAGTTGATTTTTGAGCTTACTTTTTATATTCTGATCTGACAAATGAAAATGTAAAATCTGGGTTCAATGTATCTGAGCTGCTTTACAATTTTTTTCAATGCTGTACTACTGTCTCAAGATTTAAAATTTAATGCAGAGTACTTTATTGGTCTGAGGCACACAGGTAAGAAGAAATGTCAATGTTAAATGTATGATTTTTTTGGTACAAAAATTAAAAAAAGGAAACTACCTTGGTATTGAGTATTAAATGTTTACCTAAGACTATAATCTCAAGTATAGTGTGTGTAAAACATATACCTCTCACAATTTATCACCACTAAATTATACTGCATCAAAATTGACTATAAAACTAATTCAAGAAATGTTTATATATATATATATTTTTAGTACACTAAAAATATTCAGCCTGATGAAACATTTTTCCTTTTCAAACATCATTTTTTAAGTTTCTATACAAATGAAATCTTACCTCTGCATTTTAATGAGCCTTGCCATAATTACTGTAGAGTGGCTTTTCAAAGATATTTTGTTGCACTAAAACTGTGGTAGTTAACTCAGTGAATATGATGTGTGAAAGAGCATAATTAGCTGGTCAGTATTTTTGTCCAAAATATATTCAAGAGTAATAAAATACATGCCTTCTAAACATGGTAATTATTACAATTTTTCATCTCTGGAAGATAGTTCTTAAATTGTTTTGTGAACATTGATTTTGGTACATTAAGCATTATCCTTATATTTAATGCTTTATTTCCTAAGTATATGAGTAGTAATGAAAGTAAAGGTACTCAGAAAAATACAGTGCAGAGAGGGCATTTTAGTATACTGACTTACCAGTTTGAGAAATGAGGTGTTTTGGCCAGAAATCCACAAAGAATTTTCTAAACCATCTCATTTTAGTTATTTAATGTTGATATTGTTCAAACGGGTAAATGTACAGGAAAAAAATAAACTTGGAAACTTGGGATTTAACTAGAAAAATCTGAATTATAGAACCAGTTGGTAATACTTGCTGATGAATTGGCAATCCATCCCCTTTTTCCTCCATTTTCTCCTAAATGTATGTATGTGTTTCAAGATTTTTGTTTTTCCAATTAAAACTGGAAACATACCACGAGATTTTTTGTTTTCTTTTACATAATTCATTAAGTATATTCTTTCCAGAATCATGTAACTTTTGAGAAAGAAATGCTATCTAAATTTTCAAATGTGAGTCTTCTTTGTAAGGTAAATTGCTTCTGCATTAGGGTTCCATAAAATTATAATAATGACAACTGTTTTGAGGCCCAAAGAATGTTTTTCTATTATGATTCATTAGACAAACAGACTGTAGAATAAGTGTTTTGCCAGGGCAATGAAGTATGAGTTATTAGAAGAAATCACAGTAAATAAATTATTTTTTAATAAAAAGACAAATTAGGTACTTTTTTTTAAGCTTCTCAACCACTCCCAATCCTCATCCAATCCAAAAAAAAGTTATATAGAAGTCAAAATTTCAACATGTTCATAGAATACTAAAAGTAGTAAAAGCTTTATTCTAAATGAGTATAAACTAGTTTTCTTTAGCAATATTTTGTGAAAATTAGAAACTGTTACCTAACATGTAGTGCAAGACTACAATGTCAGATTAAGGAATACAGTTATGTAAAATCCACTGATATCTTTGTTAAAAATATCTGGGTTTTAATATAGTTATCTACTTATATACAAATATTAAAACTCTTTAGTCCAAATCATTGGGAGAAAACTTTCTTGGAAAATACACTGTGATTTAAATAACTTTATTTTTAATTTAAATATTCGCAATGATATCAGCAACAAGAAAGATAAGTCTCAAATTTCTTTCCATGAAAGATTGAAATATGTGGGGTTTTCATCAAAATTTTATCTTTAGAAAGAGGGTTTTGAAGTGCTGTATAAATCTAAGCAGAATAATTACGTTTATGATTCTATATTAATCTTCAGTATACTCTAAAAGAAATGAGCAATGTATTTCAAGAACTGTATTTCAAAAATATAAATATCTACTTAGTGATTATGAACTTCCTTTACATTGTGGCCATTGTATGGTTAGTTTTTGGTGTTTTGTTTGTTTTTGTGGGAGAGGGCAACCTGGAAACCTATCAGTGAGAATTTAATTTATTCTATATCTTTAATCTACATCATTTGGCATACTGAAAGGTTTCCATGTTTAGGCATCTTAACTTAGAACTTAAGATTTTTGGAAGCATTGCACTTGTTTATTAGAGCTTTATGTCTGTATACTGTGTATAGAGATTTGTTTGTAAACATGAATAGTCATATTAAATAAACTTTGTTAAATTAATTTTTTGAATACCAGTGATGTGCACAGCTGATTGTTAGGTATATATGAAAATCCCACTATCTTTGAAAAGATGACAGCATATTTTTACTACTTAGGGGCTGTATTTACATTCATTTCTTCCATATACTTTGAACTGTTTTGCATTTCTTTGTTCACTTTTCGGGTTCCTTCCTATTGGCTATAGTATTGCAATAATACAGAGAAGATGAATGCAACTCCTATTTTTTCCTGTCATTTTTATGGAAATGCATTGAAACCTCAATAGGCTAGAAGTTAACTTTAAAAATATTTGACTCTGTAGTTCAAAGATTTAGTATATCACTGTGTGCCTAATAGGTTTTTTGATAAATGTAATGTTAGAGAAGCCATTAAGGTTTTTCAGTAGTAAATATTACTTCTGATAGCCATATACAAGAAAGTTTATAAGATAACCATGGCTGCATGTTTTGCACTAAGGGATTGTAGGAAGTACAATGTGTAAGTGCAAAACTTGAGAGAAATGTAGCTATTTCATATGCAGAAATATCTGATTTTAGTTTGTTTTGATTTGCACTAAAATAAAGTATACGAACAAGTAAGAGGTTGTAAATATGGGAAGTAATCAGTGTAAAATATAAGAAAAGAAGAAATGATAACCATGTTGAATTTTTAATTCTGGTAGCGGAATAGGGTACAAATTGAATTATTTTTCTGATTATTTGTTTGTTAGAAATGCACTGTCTATAAGAATGTTCTTTCTCAGACTTTTGGCATGTTGGGGTTGGTTTTTAACAGTGGTAATTTTTTTAAACCAACTTAAATATTAGATGTTAGTTCCAATAACCAGGCAATGAATCACTTTATAAAGTTTTAAATTCTTCAGAGGTGTATTTTTATAGTGAGACTATGATTCTGTATTCCTCCTTTGTCCTCATTTTATTTGCTAGTGTGTGTGTGTTTGTTTTTATTTTAATAATCAAAATGCAGTTAATTGTGGAAATTAGAGTCTGCTTTCTCATCCCAAATAAGACCAATAATCAGATTAAGAATAGAGTTAAAGTTTGAAAGAGCAAAAAGGTTGACGTTAGCTATTTTAAAATTTGATTTTACTTAACCATTTAATTCCTGTTTCATGTATACATCATGAATAATATTAAAATATTTGAGAAGATTGCACCTGTACTAAACTTGTGCAGTATTTTTTCCTTCATGCAACTATTTACAGAGCATTTACATTTTATTCGGATTATATGTAATATACAGATGATTTTAAATATACAGGAGCATATGTAGGTTATATGCAGATAGGAAATTGCAAAGGACTTAAGTATTCCCAGATTTTGGTGTCTTCAGGGACCCTGGAAACAGTACTGCATGGATTCATCAATAATGTAGTCTGTTGACTTTCAGTTTGAAATTAACACATTTTTAAGATAATTTTTCCATTTTGTAGTGTTTACTTACTTCCTCTGAACTGTTTTGAATAGACCTGTCACTATTTTGAATTGTTTATAATCACCTGCCTTTTTCATATTTCTGATATTTTTAGCTAATATGTATATATATATCATATGTACATTATATATATATATATATATTTACCAAACTAAATTATTTTTCAAAATGTAACTATTTAAAAAATGTATACAGTTTGACTGGATTGTTTTGTTCCGGTAAACAATTGATATACCAATAAGCTTCAATGTCTTCTGTTTATATATATATATATTTTTTTTCTATTATAGTCCAGTCCACTACATATCTACTTTTGACCGGAGTAGTGATTGGTTTCCATCAAGACTTGAAACCAAACACAGTTTTACAAATATATCCTTATGGGTCATTTCTTTTCTTGAACCTTGGTACTAGTTATTAATGTGCATTTCATTTTGGAACAATAAAACATTTCAATTTGGGAATGTTTTATTTCATTCTCCATTTTGCACTGTTCATTCTGACAAGGCTGTATGGATGAAGTGGGCTGTTAAATGAACTTTACAATAGTATTGCTAAAATAGAAATAATTCTTAAAACCTGAGAGTAAATCAAAGCCTCATTGCCTTATATGCATTTATTTCTATGTAGAGATACCGAATTACCATCCCAGTTATGAGAAATCTGTCAGAAAAACCTAGTAAGGGGACAGTTTCATCTTAACACCCAGGGATAACTAGATTGAGATGCCTTGACATCTTGCCAAACTTTTTCATCTTTTTGAAAAAGTTTTTTGTTATGGAAAATTGTACAAAAGTAAGAACAATGAACTTTCATGTACTGGCTTCAATTATTTTTAATCCATTGTCAATCATGTTTTATTTAAATTCTTGCCCACATAATCCTCGTCATTATTTCATTTGTAGGTAAATCAGTATGTAGTTCTAAAAGATAATTGTTTATTTATTTATTTATTTATTTATTTATTTTACGTTTTTTAGTGGTATCAGGGATTGAACTATGGCTTCATGCTTGCTGGCAAGTGCTCTTCCACTTGAGCCACACACTCCAGTACCTTTTGCTTTTGGTTATTTTTGAGATAGGGTGTCTCACGTAGTGCCTGGGCTACACCTGGAGTCTAGTCTCCTGTTTCCTCCTCCCCCATAGCTGGGATGACAGGGACACACACCACCATGCCCAACTTTTACTGCTTGAGATAGGTCTGGAGAAGTTTTACTAGGGCTGGCCTCGATCTGAAATCCTCCCAACTCTGCCTTCCTAGTAGCATTACAGGCTTGAGCCACCATGGACCATTAAAAAAGCTAACCATAGTATCATTATTATACACAAAGTGAATATTTCCCTAATACCCAGTTGTGAGTGTCATGTTTTTTGCAGTTTTAATCAGAGTCAGGTATCCATATATTGTGATTATTAGAAATACCCTTCCCCCTTTTTCTCCTTGCAGATTAAGAAACAGCTTCATTTTTCTGATAGTTTTTCAGGTTTGATTGTTTCAGTTGCACCCCTGAAATACATCCCTCTGAATTTTCTGTAAATTGGTAGTGAAGTTAGAGCTTTGATTAGATCCAGGTTTAATTTTTTGGTCAAGATTACTTCATAAGTGTACCTTCTTCCATCAGAAGATACAAAAGACTTGCTTTTCTGTTTTGATGTTAGTAACCATTTGACCCTCAGTGTCCAGATATATTAACAGGGAACCTATCCAATGTCTAGATGTATTTACTGTGTTCTTTTACTACATAACATACTTTGATATCTTAACTATGTCAGTACTGTTCCCTTCACCTAAAATTTCCTTTCCCCTCCTCTTTTCTACATTGGGAGACCACTCCATGTTGAAAGTATAGCTCAAATGACAGATTAATAAAAGTTTCTCTTAAAATTAGTAGCTGCTGTGCATAGATTTTTTTTGTATCAGCTTATTATCTATCACAACATTTTATTCTAGTTTTTACTTTTCTAGATCATTGGAAACTGTATCAGTTAAAAATTAGTACTTTGTTCTCCAGTTATGTTTGTACTGCTGTAGTGGCTGGACTTTACACATTATAAAATACTCAAAAATAGAAATTTTAACTGATGATATTTTTTAGATGTCTGTTTTGTCACTTTTGAGAAACACGATTTACTTCATTTAAATACAGTTTTTTCTCACTAATTTTTTTGAAAAAAACACTAACGTGCTTTATTTGTTTTTTTAAGATTGACTTTGTACTTTCTAATTCAGTGATTCAAAAATCTTGGCTCCGTAGTCAGTAAGTATATGTTGATACTTGATTAAGTGTTAGAATGCTTCCTCTCAGAAACAACTAGGTTAAAATGAAGGACTGCATTGTTGGGAACTTTAACAATTTCA